CTTATTTAATCTGGATGCTGAGCAAATAATTTGAGAAGCTAGACTATATGAAGAAGAATATGACATCAGGATTGGAGGAAGGCTCATTAACAACCTGCAATATGCAGATGATTACAACCTTGCTTGCTGAAAGTGAAGAGGACTTGAAGCATTTACTGATGAAGATCAAAGACCACAGCCTTCAGTATGGATTATACCTCAACATAAAGAAAACAAAAATCCTCATAACTGGACCAATCAGCAACATCATGATAAACGGAGAAATACTGAAGTTGTCAAGGATTTCATTTTACTTGGATCCACGATAAACACCTATGGAAGCAGCAGTCAAGAAATCAAACAATGTGTTGCGTTGGGCAAATCTGCTGCAAAAGACCTCTTCAATGTGTTAAAAAGCAAAGATATCACTTTAAGGACTAAAGCGTGCCTGACCCAAGCCATGGTGTTTTCAATTGCCTCACATGCATGTGAAAGCTGGACAATAAATAAGGAAGACCAAAGAAGCATTGATGCCTTTGAATTATGGTGTTGAAGAACACTGAATATATCGTGGACTGCCACAAGAAAGAACAAATCTGTCTTGGAAGAAGTACAGCCAGAACGCTTATTAGAAGCAAGGATGGCAATACTTTGTCTCTCGTGATTTGGACATGTTATCAAGAGGGACCAGTTCCTAGAGAAGGACATCATACTTGGTAAAGTAGGTTAGCAAAAAAGAGGAAGACCCTCCAAAAAGACTAATGGACCACAACTACCACAGCCTCCACCAAACTGAGTCCAGCACAACTAGATAGCGCCCAGCTACCACCACTGACTGCTCTTACAGGGATCACAATAGAGGGTCCCAGACAGAGCTGGAGAAAAATGTAGAACAAAATTCTAACTCACAAAAATAGACTCGACTTACTGCTCTGACAGAGACTGGAGAAACCCGGACAGCATGGCCGCCAGAAACCCTTTTAACTCAGTACTGAAGTCACTCCTGGGGTTCACCCTTCAGCCAAAGATTAGACAGGCCCATAAAACAGACTAAATGGGCACACCAGCCCAGGGGCAAGGACAAGAAGGCAGGAGAGGACAGGAAAGTCGAGCAGGGAGAGTGTTGACATGTCATAGGGTTGGCAACCAACGTGACAAAACAGTATGTGTATTATTTAATGAGAAACTAATTTGCTCTGTAAACCTTTATCTAAAGTACTATTAAAGAAAAAGGGGAAGACCCTCAAGAAGATGGATTGACACACTGGCTGCAACAATGGGCTCAAGCATAAGAACGATTTGTGAGGATGGCACGGGACTGGGCAGTGTTTCTTTCTGTTGTACACAGGGTCTCTATGAGTTGGAATGGCTTGATGGCACCTAACAAAAACTCAGAAAATACACTTTAACATTGATTATTGAAACTCATACCATCTAAAATAGAATGTCATTCCTAATACAAGAAAAAAATATGCCTTTCTTGGCATTCAGATTTGTTAAAAATGACAACAACAAAACAAATTTGAACAACTTGGTATAAGGAGGGTGTCTTAGTTATCTAGCGCTGCTATAACAGAAATACCACAAGTGGATGGCTTTAGCCATTTTCTCACAGTTTAAGGGGGCTAGAAGTCCAAATTCAGTGCGCCAGCTCTAGGAAAAGGCTTTCTCTCTCTGTCAGCCCTGGGGGAAGGTCCTTGTCTCTTCAGCTTGTTTTCTGGTTCCTTCGAAATCTCCATGTGGCTTGGCATTAATCTTCTCCCTTCTCTGCTCTGCTGGTTTGTTTAAACTCTTTTATATCTCAAAAGAGATTGACGCAAGATACACTCTACAGTAATCCTGCCTCATTAACATAACAAAGACAACTCATTTACAAACAGAATTATAACCACAGACATAGAGATTAGGATTTATAACACGTGTTTTTTTTGGGGACATAATTCAATCCATAGGCAGAAATCTAAATGGCTAAAATGCAAATGCAGGCTAAAAAAAAAAAGAAATCAATTCAAAGCTTCCTGGTAGTGATGAACCACAGAATATTTTAGAGCAACAACTTTTCCATAATGAGTTGGCATAAAGTGCAAGTAACCTTTTCTGTGGGGCCAAAATGAACTATGCTAGAGTCAGGAGAATAAATGGAATTCATTTTAAGCCTCAAATAGGATCAAACTTCACACACCTATTAGATTCATTATTCCAGCTAATGATGAGACATAGCAAGGAGGTTATGTATTTACCCATCACATTTTGATCAACTTGACGTCAAGGGCTACATCATGCATGTTTATACCTTCAGCCCAGAGTCTGTGCTTGACCACACGTATACTTGCAGAATGAATGATCCCTGCTGACTGACACCCTGAAATTATGTATTCATAGGGTCCATAAACACAAGTACATACTGCAGCTTAATGTTTTCAGACCAATTTCTGAAAGCAAAACAATTACTATGCTACAGATCCTCTACTATGACATAGTTTAAATCATCTTCCCAACTTCATTTATCTCAATCTTTTCTTAAAGAGAGAAAAAAAAGGCAACTAAAAGCCAGAAAGACTAAACAGTTTCAAAATATCACTCCATAGATTACTTATTAATTATGAAAGACTTAAGGCACCTTTTCAGCGGAGGATCTGGTAGACACCATCTTCACCAAGTGATCAAACTTAGAATTATCACTAAAGGGACAAACGGACATTAAATGTCCTGATGTAATGCACTGGGAAATGGACAATATCACCTAGGTAATATTCTGACCAAAAAGATTTAATCTGAATTTAATGATGAAGAAACAATCAGAGGAACCTAGATTGTGGGACATTCTACAGACAATTAGCCTGAACATTTCAACAATGTCAATCACAAGAAATTGAAACAAAGATGGAAGAACTGTTTTTAGGTTAAATGACACTAAAGAGACATGACAACTAAACACAATGCATAATCCTTGATTAGATCCTGGAATCAAAGAAAAAAAAAAGCCATAAAAATTATTTGGGCAACTGGAGAAATTTAAGTAGACCTGTATATCAGATAATATTATTTGATCAACATTAAATTGCTTGGGTGTGACATAGTTTTGTAGTTACAATAAAAATGTCCTTGTTTCAGAAGATACATTTTCAATATTAGGGATTAAATTCCATGACATCTGCAACTAACTTTCAAATGGTTCTGCAAAAAGCAAAAATGTGTATGCGTATATACATGCAGACATATGTGTGTGTATATACGTATGTGTGTACATGTACACACATATAAAGCAAAAGTATCAAACTATTAACAATGTAATATTAAGAGTATATTGGGTATTTATTATACTATTCTTTCAAAACTTCAGTAGCTTTGAAGTTTTTCAAAACAAATGGGGTAAAAAAAAAAACAAAAACAGACGCATCTGGTCCAGTAGTGCCTAGAGACTGCCTGAACACGTCGTTTTTCAGATAAGGTCTCCAGAATGCCACGTATTTTTGTTATTACTGTCAAATGTGATCCCAGCATCTTTTGAAACAACTTGAGTTACCAGATTATCATTTTAGTTATTTACAAGCTAACGCCTGCATCTGCCTCAATACTGTCGCTGTTGTTAGCTGCTTTCCAAGCGGCCTGACTCATGGTGACCCCATGCGCAACAGAATGAAATGCTGCCCTGTCCGGTGCCATCACTGTGACTTGGTTTCGGATCAGACTGTTGTGATCTACAGGGTTTTCACTGGCTGATTTTCAGAAGTAGATGGCCAGGCCTTTCTTCCTAGTCTGTCTTAGTCTGGAGCTCTGCTGAAAGCTGCTGAGCATCATAAAACACACAAGCCCCCACCGACAGATAGATGGTGGCTGCATATGAGATGCACTGGCCAGGAATCAAACAGGTCTCCCGCATGGACAGCAGTAATTATACCACTGAATTACCATATCAGCTATATCACAAACTTGTTGGAGAGATGGTGTCCACTGAATGGTGCCTAGCAGTCGCTGCCCAGTGGATGAGAAATCACAGGTGTCTTGTTTATGACTGCAGTCTGTAATCCTATGTCTCAGAGCCATGTTCTTTATTTACTAAATCAAGATATTAGTCAACTTTGCTGTAAAGCCCTTACCTCAACCTTCAATCGCCACTTGTCGGTCTTCTTGCCTTTAACGGTCCAACACAAATAACTGAGAACCTCCTCGCCCTCCAAGTATTTATTAATTTTCCCAGGTAAAATAATTTCTCTTCTCAACTTTCTGAGCACTGATAGTTTTCTATTATGATTTCTAAAAAGCCTTAATTCAGGTTCAACAGCTGCTCTAGGGAGAGTAGTTAAAGGGTTAAATAGCAGCTGGGTCAAAGACTTTGGATGTAGAGTGGGAGATACCCAGCAACAAGTCTCAGAAAGTGATTCCTAGAAAGAGAAGAGGGTAAAGTGGGCAAATTTGGAGAGAGGTACAAGCGATCTGCAGACAACCTCCTGGAGCTGACCAGAAACAAAGACACTGAGTGCTCACTGTCCCTCGTCCTGGCCCTAACGACTCAGCGTCCGCACTGCAAAAGTGAAAGCCGAGAGGCCGTCGCGGACAACCAAAACGGAGTTTCCTCCGACAAGAGGCCAGGCGCCATTTGCGCCACAAACAAGGCGGGGACCACTGCCTCCCGAACTCTCCGGGTTCAACTCTGAACCTGGAACGTCCGGAAACTCCAAAGGGCGTGAACAGTTTGGTTGGTGGCCGAGATCGTCTCATTTACTAGGTCCACCTCCGTCCTCCCCTCATTTACCGGATCCACCTGCGGCGTCTCCCGCCGACCTCGCCCACAGCGCAGGCGCAGGGGGTGACCCAGCGAGGAAGTGACCGGGGGACCCTCCAGCTCTCGGCAGATGGAGCTAGAACCTCCTTCCAGGAAGAACACAGCTCTCCCCGTGCTAGTGTGCGGGGCACACAGAATACCAGCGGTGACGCCGAGAGCAAGGTAGCCCCGCACCCCCAGCACTGAGAGGCGGGGACCAGGCGCGCAGTGCGCAGGCGCGACGCAGGGCCGGTACCTGGGAAGGAGCAGAGAGAAGTGGAGTTGGGGCACAGGGTCCCGTTGCCCACCCGCGGCACTAGCTTCAGGCTGAGGATCTGCTGCAGGAGCCCGGCTGACCCTCCGCTACTGCCGCTCCCTTCGTGCTCCATCCCGCCGCCATTCACCGCGGAGAAATGAGGGGAAAGCACCCGAAGTGCTGCAGGAACTCTCACACAGGGTCCACTCTGCTTCCCGTACCTCCGCCGCCACAGCGTCACCTCTGCCAGGGCTCCCTTCTTCCTCCCACCCCAACGGCGCTGCCAAGTGATGGTTCCTCCTTCCAATCAATGGCAGGGGCGGGGCGAGCGTTATTCCCGCCCCTGACGTTGCGTACAGCTCACAGACTCTGCCCCACGGGCTCCGCCCTCTCCTGGAGAAATCTCGCCGGCTCCAGTAGGGCGCGCTATGCTCTGCAGCGCTACCTATAAGAAGGTATGTGAACTGCATACGCCCCACTAAACCAGAGGTGAAGACTTAAAACACATCTGGCAAATCAGTGATCCTAACAGATTTGTAACGACTGTTTTAGTTAGAACTGGACCCCAATATTTCTGAAACTTTAACCAAGAGAACCAGGAAAGTTCTTTATCTAAAGCTGACGCATTAGTGTAGGCCAGGGACAGGTGGGTGACTATATATTGTCTATATATAGTGCTACCTAGTTTAAATAAAATAAAAATTTAAAAGAGGCTCCAGTTCAAGATGGCAAAACCGAATCATACATTTTGTTCTCATCTTCCTTCAGAGACCCTGTTAAGATGAAAGCAACGAAACTGTAAAAAGAAATAAGCCGATCACAGTAGAGTCCTGGAAGGGAAGTTATTAAGGATAAATCATTTCAACAAAGTTCCATGAAACAAAGAGGCTTTTGGTAGATTATAATAAGTATTTATTGAACATTTTACTCTGTACTCGTCACCAAGTCAAATGCTTGATATGCATTATCTCATTAATCCAAACAACTCAGTGACATAACTGTTTTTATTCTGAAACTTATATTTAAGAGAGATAAAATAATTTGGTTACGGTCACAAAATTAATAAGTGCCCAAGTTGGGATTTGAATATACGTATTCTTTCCAGAGGCCCCGTGGTTAACCGCTTGTCATGGTTTGAACTATGTCCCCCAAAAAATGTGTGCATCAATTTGGCTAGGCCATGATTCCTGGTACTGTGTGATTTTCCTGTATGTTGTAAACCTGCCTCTATGATGTTAATGAGGGAGGATGGGTGGCAGTTGTGTTAGTAAGGCAGGACTGGATCTACAAGACTGGATTGTGTCCTGAGGCAATCTCTTAAGATATATAAAAGACAGAAGTGAGCAGAGAGACGGGGACCTCATATGTATCATCAAGAAAGCAGTGCCAGGAGCAGGGTGTGTCCTTTGGACTGGGGTCCCTGTGCCGAGAAGCTCTTAGTCCGGGGGAACATTGATGAGAAGGCCGACAGAGAGAGATAAAGGCTTCCCCTGGAGCTGACGCCCTGAATTTGGACTTTTATACTTTGACTGTGAGGAAATAAACTTCTTCGTTAAAACCATCCACTTGTGGTGTTTCTGTTATGGCGGCACTAGATGACTAAGACACCCCTACCCCATGTTTTGGAGAAGGAAGCCATAACCCAGAAGGAAGAGGTGGTGGAATGGACTGAGAGGGAGACTGAACACAGAGGGGTTCACTGAGTCTATCTGTGCCACAGCTCTACCATTTCTTGTCCTCTCTCCATCCCCTGACCCACTCACATGTAGAAGAGGCCTACCAAATACTCCAGCTGACCCTGGAAGAAACAGAAAATTTAGGAAACAGAAAATAAATGATTTTTCTTAATTAGCATCCTCAGAGAGTCTCAAGAAGAGTTTGTATTCATAAAACCAAAACATGATGCTTTGAAAAAGGGACAGAGAGCAAGAAAGAGCTCTTAGAAATTAAAACCATCACTTTCAAATTTTACAGTGTAATAGACAAATTAGAAAATAAAGTTGATGATCTCAACTTTAGAGGTAAATGTAAAATGGCAGAAAAGAGAAGAGCAAAGATAAGAGAAAGGGATGCTCGAACCAGGAGTTTTGACATCTAATGAGAGTTTCAGGAAAAATGAACAGAGGGAAAAAAGCAAGAAAGAAATTTTAAAAATACAGATGAAGAGAAAAAAAATAGATGAAGAAAAACAAGTGCCCATCAGGTGCCTGAGGGGGGAAAAAAAACTTCACACATCCTTGTGAAATTTCATAACTGAGAATAAAGAAATGTCAAAATGGTGAATTTTATGGTATATGAATTATATCTTAATTTAAAAATTGGGGAAAAATGCTAAATGAAAGAAGCCAGACACAAAAAACTACATATTACAGTAAGACCTGCGAAAGCCAGAACCTGTGTAAGGTGGAAACCTGTCAGAGAAGGAAAAGGCCAATATTTTCCACTAAAACAAGCGATAGAAAAGTGATAAGACTGTATCGTCAAAGATGGAAAACTTGGAAGACCTGGAAAAACAAAGCAGTCCCGCCGAGTTCCAGCTTTTACAGGTTTCACTGTGTATGACGCCATTTATATGAAATGCCCAGAAAAGGCAAGTCTATAGAGACTTTGAAAGGAACCCTCACGGTGCAGTTGTTAAGCACTCGGCTGCTAAACAAAAAGGTTTGTGGTTTGAACCCACCAGCTGCTCCTCAGGAGAAAGATGTGGCAGCCTGCTTCTGTAAAGATTTACAGCCTTGGAAACCCTATGGGGCAGTTCTACTCTGTCCTATAGGGTCGCTATGAGTTGGAATTGACTCAACCGCAGTAGTTTTGGTTTTTCAGTAGGTTTTAGAGACAGAAAGGAGATTAGTAGTTGCCTGGGGTGGGAAGGAGGAGTTACTACAAACTGGCATGAGGATCTCTTTGGGCTAATGGAAATATTCTAAAACTGGATTCTTGGTGATGGTTGCATAACTCTGTAAATTTACTAAAATTCATTGACTTGTACACTTAAAACAAGCAAATTTTATAGTATATAAATTTTACCTTAAGAAATTGTTTTTACGTTAGGAGCCCTAATACCTGGCATAAACAGAATACAAACCATAAGCAACAATGCACAAACACTAGAAGAGAAACTAGATAACTGGGAGCTCCTAAAAATCAAACACTCATGCTCATCAAAAGACTTCACCAAAAGAGTAAAAAGACAACCTACAGACCGGGAAAAAATTTTTGGCTATGACAAATCCAATAGGCGTCTAATCTCTAAAATCTACAAGCTACTCCAAAACCTCCACAACAAAAAGACAAATAACCCAATTAAAAAATGGGGAAAGGATATGAACAGGCACTTGACCAAAGAAGACATTCAGGCGGCTAACAGACACATGAGGAAATGCTCACGATCATTAGCCATTAGAGAAATGCAAATCAAAACTACAATGAGATACCATCTCACCCCAACAAAGCTAGCATTAATCCAAAAAACACAAAATAATAAATGTTGTTGAGGTTGTGGAGAGACTGGAACACTTCTACACTGCCGTGGGAATGTAAAATGGTACAAGCACTTTGGAAATCGATTTGAAGCTTCCTTAAAAAGCTAGAAATAGAAGTACCATATGATCCAGCAATCCCACTCCCTGGAATATATCCTAGAGAAATAAGAGCCATCACATGAATAGAAACATGCACACCCATGTTCATTGCAACACTGTTCATGATAGCAAAAAGATGGAAACAACCTAGGTGCCCATCAATGGACGAATGGATAAACAAATTATGGTATATTCACACAATGGAATACTACAAAACGATAAAGAACAACGATGAATCCGTGAAATATCTTATGACATGGAGGAACCTGGAAGGCATTATGCTGAGTGAATTTAGTCAGTCACAGAAGGACAAATATTGTATAAGATCACTATTATAAGAACTCAAGAAAAGGTTTAAACACAGAAGAAAACATTCTTTGACGGTTACGAGGGTGGGGAGGGAGAGAGAGGAGTATTCACTAACTAGATAGTAGACAAGAATTATCTTAGGTGAAGGGAAGGACAACACACACTACAGGGGAAGTCAGCACAACTGGACTAAACCAAAGCTAAGAAGTTTGCTGAACACAACCAAATACTTCGGGGGACAGAGTAGCAGGGGTAAGGGTCTGGGGACCATGCTTTCAGGGGACATCTACCTCAACTGGCATAACAAAGTTTATTAAGAAAATGTTCTGCATCCCACTTTGGTGAGTGGTGTCTGGGGTCTTAAAAGCTTGCAAGCGGCCATCTAAGATGCATCAATTGGTGCCAACCCACCTGGTGCAAAGGAGAATGAAGAACACCAGACACAAGGAAAATATTAGCCCAAAAGACAGAAAGGGCCACAGAAACCAGAGACTTCATCAGCCTGAGACCAGAAGAACTAGATGATGCCTGGCTACCACCAATGACTTACCTGATTGGAAACACAACAGAGTCCCAGACAAAGCAGGAGAAAAGTGGGGTACAGAACTCAAATTCTAGTAAAAAGACCAGACTTACTGGTTTGATTGAGACTGGAGGGACCCAGAAAGACATGCTCCCCGGACTCTCTGTTAGTCCAAAACTAAAACTATTCCCAAAGCCAACTCTTCAGACAAAGAGTAGACTGGACTATGGGACAGAAAATGATACATGAGAGTAAATGGGCAGCTCCTGTCCGGAGGCGAGATGAAAAGACAGAGAGGGTCAGGAGCTGGCTGAATGGACATGGGAAATCCGAGGTGGAAAGGAGGAGTGTGCTGTCACAGTATAGGGGGAGCAACTAGGGTCACATAACAATGTGTGTATAAATTTCTGTATGAGAAACTAACTTGAATGATAAACTTTCACTTAAAGCACAATTAAAAAACAAAATTGTTTTCAAAAAATGACCAACAGCCTATTAACAAAATTTCGGTTCATGTTAGTTGGGAGTGTCTGAAATGACATTTTAAACCTTAACAGCCATAACAGTTAGTCATCTTGGCTTTAACTCTTAAACATAATTTTTAAAACTGTTTCATTTTTTGGCTTAGGGAAAAAAAAAGAACACAAGACTTTAAAAAGATGGCCAAGAGATTCAGTAAATTAGTGAAGCTAAACTTTTTGCTATGTTGTTAAAGTTAAAAAAACGTTCTGTGATTGACAGATATTTTCCAGTGGATCTGGACTTCCTGTCAGCATTTCAGATTCTGTAGGACTTTCTGGTCGTGTGACTGCATAATTAGTGCAGGTGACAGTCTTTTTCCATAATTATGCTCTATCCAAGGCAGGCCCTGGAAGTAAATGGTGTTCCTCAACCAAAAAAAAAAAAGAAGAAATCCTTAAACTTCCAGAGAGAAACAGGTCACCTATAAAGAAATAAGACTCAGACTGGCACCAGAAGGCTGAGCAACCAAAGGAGGCTGGCAGACAATGCAGCAATATCTTCAGAGTTTGCAGGGAAAATTATTTTTTTGAAAGCTTAACTTATTTTTAATTAAGAAACATTGTATATGAAATACACTAATATTTTCCTTTTAATTAAAGAACATTAGCAACATTATTTATTAGAGTTTCCTCTTTCAAGACTTTGTTTTGTAAATTTTCTATTGTCAGTTCTGTGCCACTACAGCTGGGATTTAACATTAACCAAGAAACTAAAATAAAAATACTAAGTATAAAAAAGGCCATGAAATATATTTAACAATGCTGTCTTTCGGTGTGTTTCCCAGACTAGCAGAGTCTATTAGAAGTGGAAGAAACCAATTTATTTAAGGTTATATAACATTCAATCGTGTATCACATTAGGAAATATTATTTTGAATTTAGAATCCTATACCAAGTCAAATTATAAATTGAGAGGTTAAAAAAAAAAAAGACATTTAGACTTGCAGGACTCAAAAAATGTATGTTTCATGTACGCTTGCTAAGGAAGCTAAGTATGTACTCCAGCAAAATTAAAGAATGATAACCAAAGAAAAGAAAGATGTAGGATACAAGAAGTGGTGGAAGGGATACAAGAAATCCCAGGAGTGCAATGCTAAGAACTGCTAAACCAATTGTGGCTGAAACAGGGGTCCCAAGAAAGGGAGCAATATAATAGTTTTATACTGATTACATACTAAAATTATATTTTGGATATATTGAGGTAAGTAGAATATATTGTTAAAATGAATTTTACCTGTTGCACTTTTTTTTTTTTTTTTAATGCAGCTACTAGATGATTTAAACTTGCGTATGTGGCTCACATTATATTCCGATTGGACAGCACTAAGTTAGAGGCGAGCACGTCGGAAAGGGTAGGAACAGACATTTGAAGGCCAAGCCTGAAGATGGCAGCAAGCGGGGCCTAAAGGGACATAGAGTCTGTGATAACCATGAGTGCTGACATAGACAATATTCTATTTTCTTGACTGTAAAATAACAAAAAATTTAAGACACACCATTGATATCATAACAGCTTCTTGAATAGCTGGTGGGCTCTGTCTCCTATTCCAGGCAACTTTTAACCTTATGTACCCTGTCAGCCCCTCCCACACTCTGCTTGCCCCTCTTGCCCCCTACACCCACACCTGCGGATTCTGGGTGACTGCTGGGCCTGGACACTTCCTAGCTGCAGCTTAGGGCCCATAGGTAAGGGAAGGGACTACAGTAATTCCAGTCCTAACATCAGGTAGGCATAGCTTGGGTTCTGGTGAAAGGTGGAAGCTACAGGCTGCCAGGAGCACTCCACCCTCAACTCTGTTAGCCAGTGCTGTGCAACAAGACACCCTAAATCTCAATGATTTAAGAATAAGTTCAATGTATCTCTTCTCCCTCCAACTAAAGAAGCCAAAAATGCCAGATTCCCCTTCCCCACCTACCTTACAGCAAAGATATGGGTCCACAGTCTGGTTCCCACCAATCTAAGGCCACACCCAGCTGAAAATCAGAGACCAGCGACCACCAGAATCCCTCTAGCAACAGAAGGCAACAGCAGGGTAGCTCCTTGTTTCCAGAGGACATCATTCTGGTGGCAACTGTCACAGTTCCCAGACCCAGCTCTGTGACCTGGTGTGATTTGGGGTGTTCTGTCTTATCTATACGGACTCAAATCTGCTTCCCTATCTTCCCAGAGGCTCTGTGAGCTTTTTTTTCTTTAAAAAAAAAAAACAAAACACTTACTGAGCACTTACTGGCTCTTAAATTTCCCAAGTTCAGGACTAAGCCTTTCACATAGCCAACATGTCTTTAACAAGCCCTTTGCTGCCAGACCTAGGTAGTGTGGCTTGCAGCTAGGAACCTTGCCCTATTCTCCTCCAGGGCCTGGCCCTGAATGACCAAGGGAAGCACAATCACCCCCAGAACCTTTTTCTTCCAAGCTCCTGGCAAGCCTGATCTAGGTATCATAATCCGGTGACCTGCCTTACCTGCCTTCCAGGCACTGATCCTGCTGCCAACTTCACTCTGCCACGTGCTTCACCTGTCTTGCTACCCAGGCCTCCCCAGGCCATAGGCAAGAGATCAGCCAGTTTTCTCCCCTCCTCTTTTGCTCTTCACTGCCTCCCTCCAGGCTGATTCAGGATCCTCACCAGATTCTGCGCTCTGGGCCCAGAGCTCACCACCTTATGTAGCTCCCAGCTGTGACCCTGGCCTTGGCTGTCTGCTATTCCCTAGACCAAATAAACCTGTTGCTGTGGAGTCGATTCCAACTCATGGTGACCCCAAGTGTGTCAGAGTAGAACTGTGGTCCATAGGGTTTTCAATGGCTGATTTTTTGGAAGTAGATTGCCAGGCCTTTCTTCCAAGGCACCTCTAGGTGGACTCAAACCTCCAACCTTTTGATTAGCAGTGAAGCACATTAAGGGTTTGTACCACCCACTCCACAGCAAATGGATTAGAGCAAATAAAGGGGGGAAATCAGACCCTTCTTTGTCTAGGAGACAGGTCTTTCTGCAAGCCAGATTGACCTGTTTCTTCCCACTGCAGCCCCAGAGCAAAACCATTTATCCTCCTTCTCACCACGTGACCTTGGACAAGTCCCTTCACTTCTGAGTTCTGCTTGCGAAACATTACAAAATAAAAACCCCATTGCCATTGAGTCGATTCCAATTCACAGCGACCCTATAGGACAGACAGAGTACGAAACGTTACAGGCTGAAATTCTATTGTGTATCAGACAGGTTAATTATTGTGTTTATTTAGGTAGGTATGCTCCTTCCTGTCAGGACAAATTGAAGGCTCACCATACCCAGGTAGGGCAATGGGGGTGCGTGGGCTCCTGGGAGGTGGGGCAGAGAGAAGCTAACAGGAGCCCACAAGACAAGAAGCATCTTGTCTGATTTCTCACTGAAGATCCAGGTGAATACAAACACCAACAACTTTGACAGAGTGTGAGTACCTGGGACCTGGGGGGTGTGGCGGATGTGTGTTGAGGGGCGAGACACAGACTTCAGAGGCCAGATACCACGGTCCGTCCACCCCCAGGCGGGGCTGGGACACTCTTCTCAGCTCCTGGATGAGGTACCCCAAGGGCGGAGAGAGTTAAGTGCTTAAGTAGGAGCCAAATCATCTGGGCTAACTCCCTATGCTCAGAGGACATGTGTGCAGAGTTTCGCTTTCCACGAAAAAGAGTGCACTGGAAGAGAACCCAGTTCCTAAAGAAGTCTCAAAGGAAAGCTGAGAAGCGGGGGAGAAAGAAACGAGGAGTATGGGGACTGTCCCGCACTCCAGACTCCTCCTCTAGCGGCCTGCGCCCCGCACCACCCGGCCCCCACCCCACACTGGCCACCCGGACCTGGTGGCCGCCCGCTAAGGCATGGAGTGCGCGGCGGTGGACGACGCCCAGCTGAAGCTGCTTGGGCCGCGCGGCAGCACCAGGTCCAGGGAGAGGTCGCGCTGCTCTTCCTCGGATAACAGGGGCCGGTAGCCCAGCAGCTGCAGCGCACCAGCACACAGCTCCTGCACGCGGTGGATCTTAGCGAAGGGCAGGGCGTGGCGCCAGGCCTGGGAGACGTTGAGCGCGTCCCTGGAAGTGGTCTTGAAGGCCTCGCGGCGCACGCCAGGTCCAGCCCCGTGCGTGATGTTGTGGATCCAGGCCTCGAGCTGCGGCGTGAGGCGCAGACCGGCGAAGGCATAGAGCGCGCGAATTTCCGGCAGCGGCGCCCGCGCCAGGTCCTCAAAGCGCACCAGGCGGTAGCGGCCTCGTAGGAAGGGCAGCGGCTTTTGCATGGCTGCCTCAGCGATGCGCACGTGACTGCGGCACACCTCGCGCACCACACGCAGGCCCGGGTCGGCCTCCACCCATGTGCCATTGGTACCCAGCACGATGCCGTTGTCGCGCGCCAGTGCCTTGGCCGTCTGCTCACGCGAGCGCACCACGGCCCTGGGGTCGCGCACCAGATGCACAATGCGCAGGTTGAGTGCAGGGTCGTTGAGCAACGGGTAGAGCACCTGCAGGTTGAAAAACCGCACCTCCTTGAGCACCACGTGACTGTAGGAACGGCAGGCCTCCTCAGCCACGGTGAAGGGCCGCCGTGCGCACAGCGGCTTACACACCGTCTCGCTGCTGATGGCACCGCGAGGGAAAGCGCTGCAGGCTGGCGGCGAGCACAACGCCCGGCTCACCGCCCACTGGAAGAGGTCTGATAGGTTGCGGCGCCATGGCAGGTAGGCGTCGAACACGGCCATGTCGCACAGGAACACTGACCGCACCAGGTCACGCACAGCCATGTGCAGCGCTGGCGCGCTGCCCTGAGAGAGGGCAGTCCACACGTGCCATGCGGGCTCCATCAGGTAGAAGACGTCGGGGTGCTGGCTAAAGAGCTGGCCCACTAAGGAGGAACCCGAGCGCCAGGAGGACAATACCAACACGTGTACACGCTCCTTGCCGTCAGGTGGGGAAGGCGGCCCGGGCCATCCTGGCCGGGAGACCAGGAAGAGCAGGAGGCCTGTCTGCGCCAGCAGGAGAGCGGTCACGGCCGTGTTGGAGACTCGTGGCAGCCACATGTTGCCTGACGGGGGCCAGAGGGAGGAGAGCACAGTGGGTCAAGAGAAGGCAGTTGCCACAGGAAAAAGATACCCATCAGGAATTCCGTAGAAGCCAAAGATTGAGGTTTGGGAGTGGATTGCTCACTAGTATGCACACTCCTTGAAGCACCTGTTTTTGGTCTGTATCATTCAAGTGTCTATCCCCAGTGCCTTGAACTTTGGCTTGGCACATAGTAGGCATTCAATAAATAACTGCTGAATTAACAATCAGAGACAGTGAGAGCTATGTATTTCCTAGTAAAGGTGAGGTAAAGTTAAGTCAGCTTTTCTAAACAGTGAGAGTCATCCGAGAGAATGGGAGAACTCGGGCCATTGGAGGATGGGCATTCAGCAGCACAAGGCAGTGGTTAAGGGCTCAGAGGAGATTTTAGATTTTTTAGGTAAACAACTTAATGGGTGATTTGGCCAATATAAGAGAGCACCACCAGGCTCCCTCAGGTTGAATCCTAGCTCTGCCACTTCCTAGCCTGTGATCTTGGACCAAACACTTACTTTCTCTGTGATTTAGCTTAAACATTGGTAGAAGGGGACCTGGCTCATAGGATTGTTGGGAGTATTGGAATGAGCATGTTGGGAATGTAGTGACCCAGATAACTGAGGACTTGCACTTTTACCTAGTGTACTTCTGCACTGGGTTTTGTTTTTGTTTTTTGTTTTTGTTTTGGTTTGTTTTGTTTAAATAGCAGGTCCAACTTTTGTTATTATAAGTAAATAAAATAGACAAAAAACACCAACTATTGCCATCACCTGTAGGGAGTGGAGTGCTGAAGGCTGTGTGGACTCCAGAGAGAAGGTGTCCTGGGGGCTGTGTTGGTTTGCAGAAGAGACCAGTTAAGGGAGAAGTAGGATGGAGCCAGAGAAAGGCAGAGGTGAGAGCAGAGCCACACTCCTGCCCTGCTGCTTGCCCCTTTCTTCACTGTGGTCACTCACCGATGTCCAGAGCTGCTGGGAGGGCTGCCAACGCTGATCACAAATCCATGGGTGACACCTACAGGTTGCTCAGGACCTGAGAACACAAAGGCAGGAGCAGAGGCCACATAAGCAGGAGGGAGGCTGGGTTAGGGCCCCATGGGGAGAGACAGCCTGGAGCACTGGGAGGGCTCAGCCTTCCCAAACTGAAGGAAGGCTCCCCACTGGTGGGTGTGGGGTTGCCCTGCCCCTGGCCTGAGCTGGGCATGGGCCAGGGGCTACATACTTTCTTCCAAATGGGTATAAACTGCTGGGTTGAGGAGAGAGGACTGCCTCAGAACCAGCAGGACTGGCTTTGAGGCCCAGCGCTGCCACTTAGGAGCTGTGAGACCTTGGACAAGTGAATTAATCTCTTGGAGGCTCTGTTTGTTCCTCTGTAGAACAGAGACTGCAACATTTCAGCTCTTAGGGTTGTTGTGAGGAATGCTGCTACAAACACATACAGAGGCCACATTACTGTTATCGTGATGGAGGGGAGGAAGACCCTCCCCACGGGGTATCTCCACCCAGATGAGACACCCTTCAGTCACCTCACTGTGAGCCCTGCATCAGCCATACTTGCAAATCCCATCATCCCCCAGGCCCACCTCCAGCCCCCAACTACCCCTGTGCCCTCCAGTGGATCATAAGAATGTCAGGCTTGTTCTACAGGGCAGAAGGAACACTGAGCCAAGCTCCCACACCCCGAGGTCCCACAGGTCCTCTTTGCACCTATAGCCCCTACAAAGATCTCAGGGCTGTGCTACTTTAGACATGAAGGAACTGGAAGTTTCCTTCTTGCTTTCACAGCATTTGCTCCCCACTAATCCCCTTCCCCTGTCCATGTCACCGAGAGAAGCTGGGGTCTAAATTGTGAGCAGATCCTATCTCTGCTCCTTCCTCTAATCAGGAAGCTGCAGGGTGGATGGAGGATGCTGATTCTAGAACCACCTCCTGGACCCCACCCACCCTGGGAAACCTGGAAGTCAGGAAGGCTGGCCACCATCTGCTCTGTGAATGTTGTCTCCTCCTCGAGTACTGGCTGATGGATTGTTGCAGGGCACCCCCTGAGAATGGAGGTACAGGAAAGGAACTCATATTTGCTGACATAAACTACCACACAGGCAAGTGCTAGATGCTTTACATCCATTCCATGATTTAGCTCAACAGCCCTAGGGTGGGCATTATGATCTCAATTTTCCAGGTGAAGGACCCAAGCCTTGGAGAGACAACAGGAAAGCTGGGACCCCAACCCAGGACTTCCTGTCTCCAAGCTCCTGGTACTTTCTGACCACAGGTAGCTGGCCTCTCTGATCCCTGGGAGACCCCTGCAGAGTGCAGGACCGTGATGCTTCTACCTAGATTAGCTGCCGTGGCCAACCCAGTCCTCCCCAAGGTAGGGAGGATACTGAACCCAGGCCAAGGTGTTACCTGTGCTCCAGGGAAGCCACAGGTCTTCATAAGTGACTCACGATTCAGGAACTGCTATCTGATCCTGTTACTGGAACACAAGAGCTAGGAAGGAGATGGGGACATCTTATGCCAGTCAGGGTGACTAGAGAAGTCCAGGTCTCAGCTGGGAATTTACTGATAAGGAGCCTTGTGTTCAGCAAGTCTGCCAATTGCCCTGAGGTTCAAAGAAGGAAGAAAGGGTCAGGTAGGCACTGTGATCTTAATCACCGTGCACTTTATCTTCAGGATTGAATTTTATCCTCCTGCCATCCCTAGGAAGTAGAAATTATTATCCCTGTTTGTTTTACTTGAAGCAGTGGGGCTCAGAGACATGAATATCCAGCTAGTAAGAGGCAGGGCAAGGGCTTAAATGTAAGTGCCAGGCCTCCAGTGTAGGGCTGTGTGGTCCCTTCCTAAGCCTTTGCCAAATGGAGTCCCTTATCCTGGAAGCCATATCCCCTCCCCTATAAATTCTTTCCTCTTTGGTTCTTTTTTGGGGGGTACAATTTGTTATGTGTTTAATTTTTAGAAGAGTGTGGCACAAAATTCTAAAGGTACAGATGAGGGCATTGGCTGGCTCAGGTGTTATCTTTGTGAAAATTAGAAAGGGGGCTATGCTCTGGGCAGACACAGCCCATACCAAAGCACAAAAGCCAACCAGTTACACAGCATGGCCCACAGCAGGGCAGGTGTGCCCTCAAGGGGCAGACAGGGAAAAGGAAGTGATGCTCCCTGTCCCTATACCTCCCCAGCTCTCTCCTCAGAGGCAACCATGCCTTCAATTGCCACCAAGTCTTTGAGGCAGTTTGATGGTGATGAAAATAACCATATATTTGGTGGGGGTAGGGAGAGTAAAAATATAAACGGCTGTAGAAGGAAAAGAAAGCCCCCCCGCCCCACTCCTGTCCTGATACCCAGGACCACTCTACAGAGTAGTCTTTCTTGAGTCACTGAAATATTGTTTAGTCATGAAGTCTTGTTAAATTTTATTTTTGGTCAAAAAATACATACAACTTGAATAAGCATAAACTATCTCTGGAATTTTACACAAAGTGATAATGTTAGACCCCTGGGCAGGGACCAAACTAGCTGCAGAATAGACATTTCACAATAAACTCTTTTTTGTACGTTTTGAATTTTGACCTATATGAACATATTATCTATTTTAAAATAACTAAATTAGGACATGTTTAAATGTACATAGTTTAAAAAGTCATATAGTTTCCACAGGTCATTCTCTTGCTCCAGAATCCTACTTCCCAGTTGAAAGCAACTGCTTTCAAATTTCTTAGCTGTTTTTTCTGCTAGTTACTTACTGCTATGGATTGAATTGTGACCCCCCAAAAATGTATGTGAACTTGGCTAGGCTATGATTCCCAGTATTGTGTGATTGTCCACCATTTTGTGATCTGATGTGATTATCCTATGTGTTGTAAATCCTAACCGCTATGATGTTAATGAGGCAGGACTCAATCTACAGGATTAGGTTGTATTTTGAGTCAATCTCTTTTGAGATATAAAAGAGAGAATCAAGCAGAGAGGAGAGGGACCTCATTACCACCAAGCAAGAAGAGCCAAGAGTGGAGTGCACAGTTTGGACCCAGGGTCCCTGCGCTGAGAAGCTACTAGATGGGGGAAGATTGATGACAAGGACCTTCCCCCAGAGCTGACAGAGAGAGAAAGCTTTCCCCTGGAGCTGGCGCCCTGAATTTGGGCTTCTAGCCTCCTAGACTGTGAGAGAATAAATTTCTGTTGGTTAAAGCCATCCATCTGTGGTATTTCTGTTATAGCAGCACTAGATAACTAATATAGAATTTGGTACCAGGAGTGGGGTGCTTCCCTAACAGATAACTAAAATGAGGACGTGATTTTGAAACTGTAAATGGACAGAGGCTAAAAGAGTTTTAAGTCACCTAATCATAGAAGCCTAGATTGCCTTGAAGAAACTGTTGGTGGAATCATGGACATCAAAGACAATTCTGGTGAGGGTTCAGAAGGAAGTGAGGAAAGCTGTAATACTGGAGACGGCACAGACATTTAGAAGCAGCAGCAGAGAAATGGCAGCAGCAGAACCAGGAGACCGGCGTGAGATGGCCTGGGAGCCGACCCTTGGATCAACAGAACTGATTGCCTTTGGGCAGGGGGCTTCCTGGTAGAGTGGGGTGACTTCAAGCACTTAACAGTAGAGCTAAAGAGCTTTGGAGGACTTGTCCAAGCAAGGCAGACTCTGGGCCAGTCCAAGAGGCTGGAGGGGCCAAGAGGCCAAGGAACCAGGAAGTAGAAGCTGAAGAGACAAGGAGCACAGGAAGCAGAGCTGCTTCGGTCTCAAAGGGTAGCGCTACAATCTCTGGGGTATCAAAGGGTGGAGCCATGGCCTGCTGGGTCTCAAAGGGTGGGGCCATGGCCTCCTATTTAGGTTTCAAACAGTCAGATCTTCACCAACTTGATTCTGGAGTGTGGTGCTGCCTTTCACAAGTGCCACGGTGTGGGGGACAGATCCACTGCCCAAAGCTGAGGAGGCAGGGCTGCCATGCCCAAGGGGCAGAAGAACAGGGCCTGTCAGGGCGGAGGTGGTAGGATCACCACTCAGACAGACTAGGAGAATGGGGCCATCCAAATCCGAGGGAGCAGAGTTGCTATCCCAGTGGGCCTGGAAGGTGGAGCTGAAGCCCAGGGCCCAGAGTCCTCCACCCAGAATCTGGAGAGTGTGGCCAACACCCAGAGTCTGGAGGGCAGGGCCATTGCCTAAATGGTCTCAGAGAACAGAGGATTATTTTGAAGCCTTGAGAGCTAATGTAATGTGTTCTGATGACCTGCGTGGTGCCTGTTATCCCTTCTTTCGCTCCAGTTTCTCCCATTTGTAATGGAAATGTCTACCTTGTGTCTGTTCCACCATTGTACTTTGGAAGCAGATAACTTGTATTCTAGATTTCACAGATGAAGAGGAATTTTTCCCCAGGATGGAATTTGGACTTGGAGTTGACTTAAGACTTTTAGGATGATGATATGATGTGTTTTACACGTGGAAAGGACACCTCTCTATTTCTAAATAACTGTTAATGGGTTACAGTATATGGAACTTTGTAGTGACTTATTACCGTGGAAGACAGATTTATCTTCTCTACACACACAAACTTCTCCACCTAGCCTCCTATTATAATTTTTGGTTACACCAATATTCAAAATTTATATTATATGACTTTGTAAATATAGCTCACAGGCTGAAGTATATAAATACATTTCCTTTCTTGTACAGTGAGACCTGTGAGAGCCAGAAATCGACAGGATTGCCTTGTTTTTCCTGGTCTTGCAAGTTTTCCACCTTTGACGGGGTGTAGTCTTATTACTTTTCTATTGCTATTAGTGAAAAATATTTGAGTTTTCCTTCTCTGACAAGTTTCTGCCGTACACAGTTTCCAGCTTTCACAGGTTTTACTGTACAACTCTTGTTTTGCTTGGAGTTAAATTGCCTTGAATATTAAAATTGTAATGGAGGGATTGTAAGATAAAATTCAAGAAATGTAGAAAGTTGAACACAAAAGATAAATAGATGGAAAACAGCAAAAAGAGGATCAATTCAGAAGGTCCAATGTCCTAACAGAGCTGACAATCTAGTTGGGGACATTAAAGACACAACCATGAGATAGCCAAGGGACTGGATGATGGTCCAAGTGAATAGCCCAGGCATCCAGTGCCAAGGGAAGAGAGGCAGCTAGTTCTGGCAAGAATACTTCTCTCCTGGATTCTGGCAAAATTCTCCACCTGGTCTGCCTCCAATCCACCTTGCACAGAACCACCAGAGCCTCCTAAAACACACATCTGACCATGCCATTTTCCTACTCAGCAACCTTCAGCTTTCCAGCCTCACTTCGCATGAATCCCATGCAGCATCCTATGTTTCGGACAATCAGGAATCATCAGTGTTCCTTGAACAAGCACCATGCTCCCTTGCCCCTCTGCTGTGAGTGTCCAGCCTGATTCCTACTCAAGAGTCATCTAGGCTTCCTCAGGCACCTCATTTGTGCCTCTCTTGAGGTATGCACCATTCCCTGCCGTACATTACACCTTGCCTGTGAGTAACTTGAGGGTTGGGATTGTGGGTTTCTTATTTTTTTTATGGCTAGTGAACATCCATTCTCAGGAATCCAGTGCTGGCTTGGCACTGAACAGGTATACTAGATATGGCTGTTTTGTCCAGTTAGTACCTGCTCCCCCATCTTCTGATAACAGCTTCTAGATTTTTCACTCAAAGTGAATGAGAATTGGACACGTCTGACCCACCTCCCCCTCCCTGGTTCCTAGGGGTCACATGTCCCAAACCTGGCTCATCTGTATATTCCACACTCTAGCCCCTGGCCACAGTGATTGGTTTAAGAATGGACTTTTGTCCCAAGTCCAATCCCAGGATTTTTGTAGATCTGAAGGGCAGAGGGAAACAGACTGAATATAAAGCCAACATGGAAGAGAACTGAGCAGAGAAAGACAGAAATAGAGTGGATGAGCAGGATGACAGAAATAGAGTGGATGAGCAGGATGACAGCACCATCTAAGCATCTGGATCCAGCTGTGCAAGATTTCTGTGCATGGACTTCTGAGATGGGGAAAATATTCCGTTTTTGCTTTAGTCAGCATGAGCTGAGTTTCTGTCATTTACAACCAAGAGTTCGGACTAGATACTGGATACCCTTGGTAGGGGTAGGGTGGGGTAGAACTGGAAGGAGGCATGGGTGAAGCTTCTGGGGCTGGTCATGCTGTTTCTTGATGTGGTTGCTGATTCCATGGGTATGCTCAACTGTGAAAATTCATCAAGATGTACTTTTGTCATCTATGCTCTTTTCTATATGTATGTTATACTTCAATAAAAAATTTAATAATCCTTAGTGAATAAGATAGTAATGCAACAGTGTTCCAAACTGAACGAGTAGATGACATTAATAAATACTTGCTGAATTCTGCCCCATGGGGTTTTCAAGGAGTGGCTGGTGGATTCGAACTGCCGACCTTTCGGTTAGCCGCCGAGCTCTTAACCACTGTGCCACCAGGGCTCCAAATTGAAGTCAGATGTCCCATGATCCAAATCTAAAGGAAGCAATTCCTTTAGAGTAAGTAAAGTAATTCCTCCCTTAGCTCACATCTCTTTCTGCTAAGTATCTTGAACTGAGAGATTGTTAGCTGCTGTCTAGTTGGCCTCCAACTCATGGCGATGCCATGCACAATGCTGCCTGGTCTTATACAATCTCATGATCACTTGGGGACTGGACCATTCTGAACAACAGGGTTTTCATTGGCTGATTTTCAGAAGTAGACTGCCAGGACTTTCTTCTTAGTCTTAGTTTAGAAGCTCCACTGAAACTTGTTCATCATCATAGCAACACAAGCCTCCACTGACAGATGGGTTTTGAGGTGCCTTGGCCAGGAATCAGACCCAGATCGCCCATATGGAAGGTGAGAATTCTACCACTACACCACCACTACCCTGGCCTGAGAGGTAGGAGAAGCTGTTGTTCCGCCTGATTTACAGATGGGGAAAATCGAGGTATAGGGCAGGGAATGGTTTGCCAGGCAGAGGTTGAGCTGGAGCCCAGGAATCTTGGCTCCCTGAGCAACAGTCACTTCTAGCCAAGCTCTGCCCACCAGGACTCAGCAGCACCTCCCTGTCACCAGCCTCTCCCAGCCCTGGCACAGAATCTAAGGGAGTGAAATGTAACACCAGGGAGAAATCCTAGGCTCAAATTTCTCTCAGTTTGGCATCAGCTGAAGGATATTCCTGTTCAGAAATCCCAAAGGCTGGAGAAGAAGGATTGCAGATGAGAAATCAGTGGACTCTAGGCATCAAGGGTCTCTGCTGGGACAAAACAGCTCTAATGGAGCCTAAAGCATTCTTCTAGTGAGAAGGCTAAAAAGAAGGGAAAGAAAGGGGAGAAAAGAGGAGGAGGAAAGAGAAAAGGAAAATGAGAGTGAAAGAAAATAAAGCAGAGAGGGAGGAAAGGAGATCGGGGAGATAACTCATCTTCTTCACTCTTCAAGGAACACCAGTCAATACTATATATCGAGGGCTTCCTATATGCCAGCCTTTTCCATTCCATCTTCTGATTAATCCTCACAACAACCCTATGAAGTGGGCCTGATGATCATCCCCATTTTACAGATGCAGAAACTGAGCCTTGGAAAGATTAAGGGATTTACCTAAAGGAACCACACTATAGCAGAGTCAGAATCTGAGCCCTAGTACTCTAGCTTTAGAGCTTACTCTTAACTACATTGTGTCAAGTGGAAAAACATAAGTAACAAAACTTACACACACATATACATGTACAGTATGATACCCATTGTGTTAAAAATACACAAACATCAAAAGACACCACCAAGAAAGTGAAAGGACAACCCACAGATGGGAGAAAATATTTGTAAATCATATGTATGAGAAGAGACCTGGTATCCAGAATATACATAGAACTCTTAAAACTAAACAATAAAAAGACAAACAACCCAATTTAAAAATGTGCAAAGAATTTGAATACACATTTCTGCAAAGAAGATATACAAATGGCCAATAAGCACACATGAAAAGATGCTCAATGTCATTAAACAAACACAAATCAAAACCACAAGGAGATAACACTTCACACCCACTAGAACAGCTATAATAAAAAGACAATAACGAGTTGGTAAGAATGTGGGGAAATTGGAACCCTCATACACTACTAGTGGGAATGTAAAATGGTGTAGTCACTGTGGAAAATAGTTTGGCAGTTCCTCAGAATGTTAACATAGAATTACTATATGAACCAGCAAATTCACTCCTACTTACATACCGAAAAAATATGAAAACACATGTCCACACAAAAACTTGTATATTTATAGACGCATTACTTAAATAGCCAAAAAGTGGAAACAACCCAAATGTCCATTAACTGATGAATGGGTAAATGAAGTGTGGTATATTCATACATTGGGCTATCATTCCCAATAAAAAGGAATGAAGTTCTAATACATGCTACTTGCAGGGAGAGAGGTGCCTGTGAACTTGGGCTCCATTTCCCAGCTGACCTCAACACTTAGTTAGCCAGAGAAAGACCAGCTTATGGGATGGAGGATTGCCTCTTATTCAGTGAATGGTGTCAAGGGCCTCAAATCTGCCCTCACCTCAGGGT